GGTTAACAGCCTACTACTGCAGGCAGGTGATAGAATCCTTTTGCTCATATGATAGCTATTCTATGTATTTATATGGCCCCAATACCATCACCACTATATTCCTCTGAGGAAGGAAGTACTACTACCTCTGTTTTACAGACACGGAAACTGAGGCTCAGGGACAGTGACTTGCCCAGGCGCACACACAAGCAGCTTGTGGTGAATCAGAGTTGATACTGGCACCTCTCAATGTCAGACTAGTAGCCTAACTGCTAAGTAGTTGAAGTCTTCACTCTGTTGTGGAAGGTCCCTGAGTCCAGGCCTCGCTGACAGTTGTGTCAGGGATCAGCACTTTTAGTGCTAGCTAGGCACAACTTTGTCTCTTATAGTCACCCATAAAAATTTAAAAATTCTGGTTAGGAATATATCAGATTTTTCAAACCACAAAGAGAACTAAAAATCCATCACCACTATAAGTAGGACCCCTGTATTTACATATGGGGTAAGTGAGTCCATACTCACTGACATTACTCCCTTTATACTAGGACTGAAACTGGTCTAGTCCAGAGCCCCTATATGCTTCTCAAAAAGATGAGTGATAAATGGTCATTAGCAAAGACTGGCAGGGAGAGGTGTTGGAAAAACACTAGGCAAATTGAAAACACAGCTCTTAGGGTGTAGGATTTCATAGCACATCACCACTTCAGAATGAAGGGGGGAAAACAAAGGAGAGGCAGACAGAACAAATACTTCTTCAGTATTTTCTTCAGGATATTTTCACTGGGAAACAACTATGGCAACTCCCTAACTCACCCAGTGTTGAGTAACTGGTTTTCAGTAGGAAATTTTGGCAAACACATCTATGACATTTGGTGCTATTGTTATTGTTTATAGTATACCAGCTGTCAGGCTTCACAGTTCTGAAAGGACAGAACTGGAATGGTCACATGTTCCAAGTCACTTAAATTTATCGTGGGCCTCCACCTCTGAACTTGGGCCTCTTATTCTCTGAACTTAGAGTAAATTATGACCTGGCAGTTGAAGATGAGCCTTAAATTCAGGACTGCAGGAAAATGATCCTAAAATACATAAACAGGGGAAGCTTCAGTAGGGGTAGAGAGGTTGTTTTACCTCTGTACTGGGCACTGATGACACAGCTGTTTGAATACGGTGTCCAAAGTTCTGGTGCACACAAATTAAGAAGGATGTTGATGAATTGCAGAGGGTTCAGAGAAGACTCAAGCAAATGATTAAAGGATCAGACAGCATCCCTTACTGATAGGCTTATTAGTTCACAGGAATACAGTGTAGAACAGACTTGTTAGCACAGGAATCAAAAGCACTCAGTACAATCTATCTCGGGGAGAGGGGAGCTCAGAGCCACGGCCCTGGGCCTTGTCCCTGTAACCTAAACGAGCCCAGATTCTAATGGGCTTAGGGTTAACTTGATTAGATTCTTATTATTTTCATAAGGAACAATTTGTTAATGGGCTCTTCAATCTAGCAGAGAAAGATAAAACACAATCCAATAGCTGGAAGTGAATCTATACACAGAGCAGATATAAGGTGTATATTTTTAACAGTGAGAATAACTAATAGCTAGAACTGCTTTACCAAGGGTTGTGGTAGATTCTGCATCACTGGCACTCTTGAATTCAAAATTGGATGTTTTTCTAAAAGATGTGCTATAAGAATTATTTCAGGGATTTGGTGACCTGTGTAACTTTATAACTGAACATAATGGTCCCTTCTAGCCTTAGAAATTATGAATTGGAGGAGGCAGAAGGGGTCAGAGGAGACATGATGCATATCTTGAATGGAGTCAACAAAAAGTCTTCTTTTAAAGCGAGTACTGCTTTAGAAGACTAGAAACAACGCTCAGCAGCCTTTATAAGGGAAATAGGCAGTGCATACCACTAATAAATGAGTTACAAAAAGAATGACAGATTCATAGAGGACAGATCCATAAATGGCTATTAGCCAAGATGGTGAAGACAAAAATCTGTGCTTTGTGTTAAGCTTCCAAGTGCCAGAAATTGGGACTGGGTGGCAGGGAATGGATTATTCTGTAAAGGTACAGCTATACAGCAAGACATAATTTTGAAATAATGTCGAGATGGAAGACTTCTTACTCAGACTCCTGTAACCTTCATTTCACGAGGAGTAAGGGAAGTCAAAGGAAGAGGGTTCTTCCTTCACCTTCCTGCTGTGTGGACAGAGCCAAAAGCCAAATTAAGCTATTTTGACTTTAAGGGTATGCCTACATTACCCTCCTAGTTCGAACTAGGAGGGTAATGTAGGCATACCGCACTTGCTAATGAAGCCCGGGAAATTCAAATCCCGGGCTTCATTAGCAAGTGCGGTATGCCTACATTACCCTCCTAGTTCGAACTAGGAGGGTAATGTAGGCATACCGCACTTGCTAATGAAGCCCGGGAAATTCAAATCCCGGGCTTCATTAGCAAGTGCGGTATGCCTACATTACCCTCCTAGTTCGAACTAGGAGGGTAATGTAGGCATACCGCACTTGCTAATGAAGCCCGGGAAATTCAAATCCCGGGCTTCATTAGCAAGTGCGGTATGCCTACATTACCCTCCTAGTTCGAACTAGGAGGGTAATGTAGGCATACCGCACTTGCTAATGAAGCCCGGGAAATTCAAATCCCGGGCTTCATTAGCAAGTGCGGTATGCCTACATTACCCTCCTAGTTCGAACTAGGAGGGTAGTGTAGACATACCCTAAGGTCTGTAACTTCAGCTATGTCAATTGATTTGACTTATGCCCTGCTGTGTAGATGTGCCCTCAGTATCCAGTTTTACTGTTCCAGGTGAAATATATGCAGTGGTCCAAGTAAAAATTTGTTGGATGATATGGGGTTGGATGACATTAAAGGGACCATGGGTCCTCCCCATGTGACTCTATCCTGCCCTTCAGCCCGGGGCTCCCACTCTACCCCGCCCATGCCTCTCTCATGTTACCAGCTAGGCTGAGGTATCTGAGGGTGGTGCAACAACTGGATTAGCCGCTGGTATTTTGTTGCTTTCCTTGTTCTGCCCCTGCCAGCAGCTAAAGGAACAGAACCCTCAGCCCCATCCCTTGTCCTTCCATTGAGCTGCCTCTCCCCTGGCTCCCTACAGCAGCAGCCTTGCCAGAGGAGTGGAAGGGGGGAAACTGTTTTTCTCCTTTCCCTTCAATGCCAGCAGCTTCTCCAGCTGCCATACCACTCCCACTATGTCTACACTACAGGATTTTATCGGAAAAAAGGTACACAAATTGCACTCTGCAATTTGCGTACCTTTTTCCGATTTTTTTTGGAAAAGGTTTTTCCAAAACTTGGCCCTTCCTCCTCATGGGAGGAGGAAGACAGGGCTTCCAAAAAAGTATGTTTGCTCTTCCGCAAAAAAGTAGAAGAGCAGATGCGTTCCCTGGATGCGGCACAGTTTTTCCGGGATCCCTCCAGTATCCCGGAAAACCTCCAGGCTACATCTACACTACACTTTTGCAGTGTGGACATGTTCTTGTGCAAGAAGTTTGTGGAAGATCTCTTCTGCAGAAAGCTTCTTCTGTAAGAAGCTTTCAGTGGAGACGTTGCCTGAGTTAGCATCACCCTGGCCTCAGACTGCTTTAACAAGACATTCAAAACAAAGTCCCAAAAGTCCATCACCACAATACTAAAGTCCACACTTAGCTCTAGCATCGTCCAGCACAAGAGCTGCTCTTCTACCTCTGTCCGAGTATGTCTACACTACTACCCTCATCGAACTAGGGTGGTAATGTAGGCAACCGGAGTTGCAAATGAAGCCCGGGATTTGAATTTCCCGGGCTTCATTTGCATATTGTCGGGCGCCGCCATTTTTAAATGTCCGCTAGTGCGGACTCCGTGCCCTGCGGCTACACGCGGCACGGACTAGGTAGTTCGGATTAGGCTTCCTATTCCGAACTACCGTTACTCCTCGTGGAACTCCAATACCTCGTGGAACTCCACGAGGAGTAATGGTAGTTTGGAATAGGAAGCCTAATCCGAACTACCTAGTCCGTGCCGCGTGTAGCCGCAGGGCACGGAGTCCGCACTAGCGGACATTTAAAAATGGCGGCGCCCGACAATATGCAAATGAAGCCCGGGAAATTCAAATCCCGGGCTTCATTTGCAACTCCGGTTGCCTACATTACCACCCTAGTTCGATGAGGGTAGTAGAGACAGTTCTCCCTGATCTTCCTACCTGGATCTGAGCCTTCTGGCTCTGGGCTAGGTCTAGGCCCAGACCCAGGCTCAGGCCCAAGAGCAAGACCAATGCCAAGCCTAAACAGGACTTCTCACAGGATTCTGGCCTCCCGACTCCACTGGTGTCAGTGTTTCCATTGCAGGCTCCAGTCATTACCTCATCTTCCTCACTGCAGGTGCCATCCTGCTGCTCTTATAGGAAAAATTTCCTCATCTCACTCAGGTGTGGTTCATTCAGTAATCAGCATTGGCTCACCCCAGGCCTTGCAACCCTTAAGGGGCAAGCACCCAATTACAGACCCTAAACATTTTGCAAGCAGGATGTGACAAATTAATCTCTTATGTGACTTCACTGATATCACTGGATTTACACCAGAAATAAATTTGGCTATTTATATTTATGTGGCTTCCTTAAGAACCATGTAATCAAGATCCAGTACAAATATTCATAACAGAATTTATGAGATCCAGGCATAGTTTATATATTCTATGGAAGACTTTATATATAATCTTATATACACACTCTTAAATTTGCAATGTAAAATATTGTTTTTTCAGCCAAAAGACAACATTTTGGAAACATTGGTTTTCAGATTTCAACTTTTGGTTGAATAGTCAAATATTGTGGGTTGGCCCCCTCCCCCCCCCCCCCCATGTTTTTCTAATGGCAAAAGGAGTATGGGGTGCGTGAAGGACAAGGCAAAAAAAGGAAAGAAGAGTGTAGAAATGTTTTAATTTTAGTTATTAAAACAGGAAAATTCCAAATGAAACACTGTTTTGTTTAGAAAGGCCATTTTTGTAATAAAAAAAATCAATGAATAATTTCTATCAACAATTGCTGAATGTGAGCTATTTGTATAACTGGAAACACTATATCCATGATTCTGCATACTTGCATTTTATTCTGATAATGGATTGCAATATTCCAGTGGGGTTTTTTTGAGTTAACCGCTGTTACTCACTTTGCATCTCCCGATGCAAAGTCTGCTTCTTTCTTCAGCAGCAGCGCATGAACCGACTGGGTTGAAAATTTACCAAAGTGGCATTCATGGAAAAGAGTATTTTTCCCTTTGTTCAATTTATCTGCTGTTTGTTGTTTTACAGAGTAAAAGGTGTATGTTTGCTTAGAACCCACGGATGGCTTAATCCAGTTCCACGTGACCGTGGGCTTATTCCCTTCACTTGGAGATGTGAGCCAAGCCTGGCACAGCTAGAGATGCAGCTAAGCCTCAACCTTTGTAAAAAACCAGCTCACGCAGTGACAACCACCTTCTGCTGAATCATTCATTCAAGAGAAGTCACAGTCCAATGTTTATGAAATCACAGATCATTACCATGGCAGCAAATATGATGTCACTACCACTGGATCATGGAATGATACAGGCAGCAGGGGATATAAAAGGGAGAGATTCTCTTTATGAACAGATATTATGGCAATCAGCATAGATGAGAATGGAAATATATTACAGGAAAGTTTGAGTGTGAGTAACCTAGTGCATGTAACAGTGCACCTTTAAGAAACTAACCTAAAGCACTCTCATTCACTGGAGTTTGGATGAAACATTTCATTGGCCAGTGCTGTGAGTTCCCTCAACAGGATCTTTACACAGTGAAAAACTATTTAAAAGTTGCTGAATTGAATAACTGGTCATGCTGTACATATTTCACAAGAATACCTACTGACATGACGGGAGACAGATTATGGGGGTGGAAAAGGAAATGAGTCTAGTCTGTTAGCCCAATGCAAGTTTTTGGTAGCACCTTGTTTCAGTGTCAATACAGTGTTGTGTGTGTGTATATTCTGAATTTCAAAATCCAAAGTGTACAGAAACTGCCTGCTGATACCTTGTCACTATTGAGCTTTGAAATAAATGTTTATTACCCACCCTCTGATTCATTGTCACCTGGCTTGTGAAATCATTTTCACTGAATTTCAATTAGTTTTATTAAAACTATCACACTAATATTTTGTTATGAAACATAGCTGTCTAGGAGGTGACATGTCATGCCTGTCTATATTAACAGCATACCTCGCTAGTATGCCCCCTTCTCTAGTGTGGGGCTGAGGGCTTGTCTCCACTGCACTCAGGGAATCGATACTCCAGTGATTAATCCACCAGTCATTGATTTATTGTGTTTGCTTACACAAGAAATCGATATGTGCACTTTGTGGATGACGTTACTCTACCAGAATGGGCAGAATAGCTGGTGTCGATGGGAGAGCAAATCCTGCCAACTTTACCACACACAAGACAGCCCATTAAATATGTCGACTTCAGCTACACTATTTGTGGAGCTGAAGTAGGTCGACGGCGGGGGTTAGTGTAAAGCAGGCCTAAGACATGAGGTATATTTCTCTTGTATTCTCAGAGCATGCTCACTTCACAAGTTCTTACATATTTACTCATGAGAATAATTTTGCAATGTTGGACAATTAACAGATTATAAAAGAAACTAATGTTTTCTTCCTTCACCTTTTGAATTCTTTTGGAGTGACATGTGCATTGAAACCACCTTCATGAGGCATAGTCATGACTATATCAGAGGGGTAGCCGTCTTAGTCTGGATCTGCAAAAGCGACAAGAGGTCCTGTAGCACCTTATAGACTAACAGGTGTATTGGAGCATAAGCTTTCGTGGGCAAAGACACACTTCGTCAGATGCATGTAGTGGAAATATCCAGAGGAAGGTATAAATATGCAGGCCAGAATCAGGCTAGAGATAATGAGGTTAATTCAATCAGGGAGGATGAGGCCCACTTCTAGCAGCTGATCTGGAAGGTGTGAATACCAAGAGAGGAGAAGCTGCTTTTGTAGTTAGCTAGCCATTCACAGTCTTTGTTTAATCCTGAGCTGGTGTCAAACTTGCGGATGAACTGTAGCTCAGCAGTTTCTCTTTGAAGTCTGGTCCTGAAGTTTTTTTGCTGCAGGATGGCTACCTTTAGATCTGCAATTGTGTGTCCAGGGAGATTGAAGTGTTCCCCTACAGGTTTTTGTATGTGTCCATTTATTCTTTAATGTAGGGACTGTCCAGTTTGGCCGATGTATATAGCAGAGGGGCATTGTTGGCACATGATGGCGTATATTACATTGGTAGATGTGCAGATGAATGAACCAGTGATAGTGTGGCTGATCTGGTTAGGTCCTGTGATGATGTTGCTGGTGTAGATGTGGGCAGAGTTGGCACCAAGATTTGTTGCAGGGATTGCTTCCTTAGTTAGTTACTATGGTGCGGTGTATATTTGCTGGTGAGAATATGCTTCAGGTTGGCGGGCTGTCTGTGGGCAAGGACTGGCCTGCCTCCCAAGGCCTGTGAAAGTGAGGGATCATTGTCCAGGAGGGGTTGTAGATTAGTGATGGAGAGGTTTTAGCTGAGGATTATAGGTGATGGCCAGTGGTGTTCTGTTGGTAAACCATCACCTACAGTCCTCAGCTAAAACCTCTCCAATGCATGATTAGTGATCTACAACCCATCCTGGACAATGATCTCTCACTTTCACAGGCCTTGCCAGTATCGTAGTTTCAAGAATGCTTGATGAAAATCTTGTAGGCGTTGGTCTCTGTCTGAGGGGTTGGAGCAAATGCAGTTGTACCACAGTGCTTGGCTGTAGACTATGGATTGTGTGGTGTATCCGGGATGGAAGCTGGAGGCATTAAGGTAGGCATAGTGGTTGGTAGGTTTTAGGTATAGGGTGGTGTTTATGTGACCGTTTATGTGACCGTCAATTATTTGCACTGTGGTGTCCAGGAAGTGGACCTCCCATGTAGACTGGTCCAGGCTGAGGTTGATGGTGGGGCGGAAGCTGTTGAAATCGTGGTGGAATTCTTCCAGAGTTTTTCCCATGGGTCCAGATGATGAAGATGTCATCAATGTAGCGTAGGTAGAGAAGGGGCATGAGTAGATGAGAGCTGAGGAAGCGTTGTTCTAGGTGAGCCATAAAAATGTTGGCATATTGTGGGATCATGCGAGTGCCCATAGCGGTGCCACTGGTCTGTATATATTGTTGTCACCAAATCTGAAATAATTGTTTGTGAGGATAAAGTCAGAACTCAGACACCAGTTGTGCTGTGGCATCATAAGGGATACTGTTCCTGACAGCTTGTATTTCATCTGTGTGTGGGATGTTTGTGTAGAGAGCCTCTACATCCATGGTAGCTAGGATGGTGTTTTCTGGAAGATCACCAATGCATTGTAGTTCTCAGGAAATCAGTGGTGTCACAGAGATAGCTAGAAGTACTGGTGGCGTAGGGTCTGAGTAGAGAGTCCACATATCCAGACAGTCCTTAAGTGAGAGTGCCAATGCCCAAGATGATAGGACGTCCAGGATTTCCAGGTTTATGGATCTTGGATAGTAGATAGAATAATCCCAATCGGGGCTGTAGGGGTATGTCTACACTACCCCCCTAGTTCGAACTAGGGGGGGTAATGTAGTCATACGGAGTTGCAAATGAAGCCTGGGATTTGAATTTCCCGGGCTTCATTTGCATGAAGCCGGCCGGCGCCATTTTTAAATGCCGGCTTAAAATGCCTGGCTAGGTCGGACCCCGTGCCGCGCGGCTACATGCGGCACGGACTAGCTAGTTCAGATTAGGCTTCCACGAGGCGTACAGCTAGTTCGGATAGGAAGCCTAATCCAAACTAGCTAGTTCGTGCCGCGTGTAGCCGCGCGACATGTAGTCCGAACTAGCCGGCATTTAAAAATGGCGCCAGCCGGCTTCATGCAAATGAAGCCCGGGAAATTCAAATCCCGGGCTTCATTTGCAACTCCGTATGACTACATTACCCCCCCTAGTTCGAACTAGGGGGGTAGTGTAGACATACCCTAAGGGTGTGTTGATTCGTCCCTGTGCTTGTGTAGGGAGTGTCCTGAGCACATGGTGCAGTTTTAGTGTATTCCTCAGTGGGAAGTGAGGGAAGTAGCCTGTAGAATTTGGTATTGGAGAGTTGTCTGGCAGCCCCCTTTTGGTAGTCAGACCTGTTCATGACGACAACAACACCTCCTTTATCAGCCTCTTTGATTATAATGTCAGAGTTGTTTCTGAGGCTGTGGATGGCATCGTGTTCTGCACGACTGAGGTTATGAGGCAAGCAATGCTGTTTTTCCACAATGTCTGCCTGTGCACGTTGGTGGAAGCATTCTATAAATAGGTCCAGACCGTCATTTCAACTGTCAGGAGGAATTCATGTGGAGTTGTTCTTCTTGTGCTGTTGGAGGGAGGATATCTGTGTGTCAGTGCGCTGTTCGGTGTTGTGTTGAAAGTATTCTTCGAGTTGGAGACAAGAAAAGTAGACTTCCAGATCATCGCAGAACTGTATCATGTTTGAGAGTGGTGGGTCAAAAAGAGAGTCCTTGAGATAGGACAGACTCTTCTGCTGGGCTGAGTGTGTGGTTGGATAGATTGACGATATTGCTGGGTGAGTTAGGGGTACCACTGTTGTGGCCCCGTGTGGCAGGTAGGATTTTAGCCAGCTTACAGTCCTTTTTCCTCTGTAGAGAAGTGAAGTGTGTAATATAGATCTCCTGTCTTATTTTAATAAAGTCCATTTGTGTGGAAGGTTGGTTTTTTATGAAAGTCTCCAAATTGGAGAGCTCTTTTTTGATGTTTTCCTGTTTGCTATACAGGATGCTGATAAGGTGGTTCCTCAGCTTCTTTGATAGCGTGTGGCATAATCTCTCACTGTGGTCTGTGCAGTATGTAGATAGCAATGGATTTTTCACCTTCAGTCCATTGGGTATGATGTTCATCCATTTGCATTTGGAGAGAAAGATGATATCTGACTGTACTTGTGCAAGTTTCTTCATGAGGTTGTGACTATGGGGCCATCACTAGGTTCCCCCTGAACCCAGAGACTGCCAAGAATTGATCTCTTAGCCTCACTATAAGCAGCTGGCTGGTAGAGAACATTGCAAGCATAAGTGACACTGTGGTGGCACAAATATAAGAGATCTACAAAGAGGAAATGAAATTAAGGATTGCTGTGTGTGCAAGAGATGGGGAGGCCATTTGTGAGAAGCTTGAGCTGTGCATCCATCCCTTAAACCTCACTTAGAAGAAGAAGCAAAAACAACAATTGTCAGTAATAGAGTGGTACCACCATCTATCAATGAAGACACATATACAATTGGAATTCCCCAAATGCAATAATTTGAACATAGCTGGCACACAAGGGTCTATGACACAATGACAAAGGTAATAGACACTGGCAGTGACAAATAAGAATGTACAAGATAATCCAACAAATGAATAGATAAGGTTAATGTGAAATACAACAGTGATAGGCCTGCAAGCAAGTCCATGAGATCCTGACATCAAGATTGTCACATGAGTTGGCTACAGTACCAGCATCAATTTTTATTGGCTCTAGGGATATGAGGACCAAGGCCAAGTCTAATGTAAAGAGCCAGCTGCATATGGAGGTGCCAAAGAGACACACATCACAAGAAGTCACCTGCATGATTATGGACAGATCTGCAGTTTTGA